AGTTGATTACAATAGTCGTTATTATAGCAGCTGATTTGTTTTTTATAATACTAGAACTAAATGAACGGTTGACAATAAATTATTTTAGAAATTATATTTTTGTTTTTATTTTGTGTAGTTAGTTTAATCTTAATAATTTTTAGTTGAATGGTCTAAGGGCTACGAAGCTACGATGGTTATCGGAGTACAGAACCAGATTACAAAACTAATCCAACTGTAGAAATATGTAAGACAGGGTATCGTAATATCCCCGAAATACTTTACCGCTGCATTGGAAGACGTTTTCAAGCTACTGGACTGGCAAGGATACGGTATTAACGTCAATGGCGTGTACGTCACTCACCTTTCGAATTGCTGGAGGACCTACGCACTATGTACAGTGACCTCAATCGTGTCTCCCAACAGATAGGTCTTAAGATGAACATGGACAAAACGAAAGTCGTGTGTAATGTCCATGTCACACCTATGTCGGTGGTTTTGGGAGCCCTTAGCTGGTGTTGTTGAAGAGTATTTTTACTTGGGACAAATAGTCCGACTAGGTAAGTTCAACTTCGACCGATAGGTGGATCCACGGATTCAACTCGGCTGAACAGCGTTCGGGAGATTACAACGCATCTTCTCGTCAGGAATACCTCAAAACTAGATTGTACAACCAGTGCGTGTTGCCAGTGATGACCTATGGATCCGAGACGAGGTCTTTCACTGCTGGCTGTATGAGGAAGCTCGAAGTTGCTCAGCGAGCTATGAAGAGGGCTATGCTCAGGGGGTTCAAACTTAGGAATGAGGATATCTGCATCAGAACCAGAGTGACCGACATTGCCCAATGGATTAGTAAGCTGAAGTGGCAATTGACCGGTCATATAGCTCGAAGAACCGAATACCGATGGGGAAAAAATGTTCTCGAGTGGGAACCTCGTATCGGCAGGTGAAGTGTAGAACGTTCCCCTACTAGATGAAGTCAAAAACTCGTAAGACATGCAGGAAGTTGATGGATGGCTGAGGCTTATGTTCAGCAGTGGACTTGTGAAGGGTTTTAATGATGATGAATAATAATGGCATTATATTAATATGATACATAAATAGAATGGACGTTACTGGTAGAGTCCATCTATCCATAGAGTCCATTCTATTTATTTAGGTATAGATAGGGTATAGAATTTTTATCGATATAATTTGGTACACTGTCTTATCCCTATTATTAGTTCCATGGACGTGCACTTCTGCAGTCAGCGCCAAAATGGCGGAAATCAAATCGCTTCAGCATGTCACGGTGTATAGCCTGTCCAGCGTACTTGTACATATAGAGGTCAGTGAGATTAGAGAACAGGAGAACGATCACTGCGTACTAAAGCATAGCCCGCCTGTCCTTCAAAATTGTAGAATACATAGCGGCGCTGACGTCGGTGAGTAGTGACTGCGAAGTTAGCTGTTTATGAGTACAAGTAGATGAAGTTAGTTGAATATTGTACAAATTTTCATTTCATTTTTTCGTAGAAAATTTTCATGCTCCGTAATTTTGTAATTTTTGACAAAAAGAAACATTAAAAAATGGAGCAATATTTTATGGTGCGTGGATGTGCAAGTGGAGCATCTGATCGGAAAAATAGACTGAAAATGACTTTTGTTGACTGCACTCAGTGATCGCAGCGTCTCACTGATGGTGTCCATATTTCTGGGGCACTATTTTCTACGGCGATCGTTCTCCTGTTCTCTAACCTTCATGATGCTGGTGTAATTAGATACCATAGACTTAGAATAGTAAAAGGCGAACATAGTGTGCAAGTGAGATGAAAATTCTTTATGGTAGTGTAGCGAAATTGAAAAGGATAGAAAATCTCATGACTTTGTAACCGATTTTGAATGACAAGTCGGCACGCAAGAAATGAGCTCCTATATATTTTATAAATTTTTAGGGTATAATAGCCATTATTTTTAGTTAGTAATTGTTTTTCAAAATGGTTACTTGTTCTGTTAGTGACTGGGAGGTTAATAACAGGAATAATCTTGATAATTGCACATTTCACGGGAAAATTCTCAAGTCGTCGTCAATAATAAGACGCGTCTATTTTGATTCAAATTGATGTTATATACTGTTTAAAATATAGAATACTTTCAATCATTTTATTAATTTTGATATTTTGCAAAGAAAAAAGTCACGTCGATAATTTGCATGAATTTAGTAAACACATTTTATACAAAATATTTTACATGTACTCTAGTGATTGACTCAACTATATCAAAATTAATGTCGATATTTATCTTGAATGTTTATAATGAATCGATAGACTTGCCCATACATCAATAAGAGGAATAAAAATTAACGCTCGGTTTGCATTCTAAAAAAGTTATTTTATTTTGCCGTTTGTCAAACAGATTTCTTCCAGATTCTATAATTAGAAAAAACGGTTAAGGTTAATTGGGCGGGTTGGTTAGAATCCAAAGAAGAACTCAACAATTTGCACCAAAAATTTTCTTGGGAAGTATAAAAGAAAAATTAGAATAAAACCAATTTTATTAAGAGGCCATTTCTTATCTTAAGTCACAATGACAAAACTTAGCGTAGTTAGGTATAGCTATTAAGTAATGCTCCTGGAACACCGTGGTTCAGTGTGCCAGGATAATATAAATTCCATAGTATTTGATACTCACAACGCTCGATGCCCGATTCATTCTTGATGGCCGACGACAGTGTGTCGAAATTTTGATCGTGGTTCATCGCCTACATCGTTTTTTAGTCGTAGAGAAAAGGAGCTCGTGGTTATGTAACAGCTGCGCGGAATAGATCTACGGTATTAAGCTGCACACGACGCGGTCAATTCATGGATGGGATATATCGAATGCGTGGTGCACTTTAATATCTTCCTGTTATTGGCAATTTGAATAGTATTTGTTAATATCATTATATTTTTAAATTCATATAGCTAAAATGATAATAAGTTTATTATTACTTTATGTTTTTCAGGGACAGATGATAGAGTAGCCTCATAAACATATTAGCCTTCAAACAGAGCAATCTTATTTGACTGATTCCTATAAGTATCCTTACTTAAATTATGGTGGCGACTGCCGCCTTCGCCACACCTATTGCTCCAGGACATTCAAATATATATCCTCCAAGAAATAAGGATTGTCTAACTTTCCTCTTATTACTTGAAGATTATATAGTATACCAGTGCGAGGTCCCGCCTAACACGGAGCTCATTATATCCCACCATATTACCAAAAACGAATGAGGGTGTATATCTAAGTGCGTTTGAGATAGAAACCTAACACAGTAATGATTCAAAATGGGTCAGGTCTATGTACACTACCTCAAAAAAAGAGTAAAATCTGTGGAATTCGGGAAAAATACGGAGAATTCATTTAAATGTGGTATTTAAATGTGTCATGGTAAACTATTAATGTTTATAAATTATTTTTATTGATTTTCAACATGGCGTCTTACCGATTTAGTGTAGTGTACTCTGTGCTTATAGACTACTTTCATCGTAGACAGAGAAGGTTTCTCTGTCTATGATTTTCTTTGATCAATGGTCACTTTACAGAAGCCATAAAGCAACCATTGACCATAGGAAGAGAACTGTCAGTTGTCACAACGTTCCAGTTCGTTACGTGTGTTATGGTGTTTGTTATGTCACACACTGGAATGTTATAAAGGAGGATGTTCACATAACTTAACCGACTACGGTGAAATGAAAAAGGTGTAAAGTTATTCCGACGTACCTACATAAGAGTGGAGTGTTATACTATTCTGATTTATTATTACTAGTGGTCTCTCAGTAGCCGAACGAGGTCCGTTTTTAATTAAGAGGTCGTCACCTTTCGTCAACTTTTCCACTCGCACAGGACCATATTATAAAAAAAAAATTTAAATGATGAGAAGCACTTTTTGAAATTTTATTAATTGGCAAAATATGAATAAGTTATTATTAAAAACACATTTTAATGTGGCTTTATTATATTTGTATGCTGAGTTTTGTTAGATAAACACAAAAAAGTTTATTTTTAAATCAATACTTATTAAATTAATACTATATTTATAGTTCGCCAATTGATTACATTAAAAAAACGCATTTTTAAATTTCAATTTATTCTTAAATATGGCTCTGTGCGAACGCGAATAGTGTCAAATGGGGTAGCCCTTATAATTAAAAAAAAACAGCAAAACAAAATTCTGTGATAAATGGTAATAATTACGGTATCTGTACTAATTGTAAACTGTAAACACATATTTGTTAAATTCGTTATCGTCACCTTAATACGCAAAACTTGTAACTCCATTTTTCCTTAGTTTACAGGAGAGCAAAAAAACAGTTTTTAAACATAATATTAGATGGCAGAGTATGCTTAAATATTTATTATGCAGCATAACGATATTTTATATAATTAATAGTGAAAAAGATTAAAATAAATCCATATTTATGTCACTTTTTCTATTAAAAATGGATTTGCGAGGTTAGCATTATGAAGTAAAAAAAACTAAGGATTTACGAGGGTGAGTTCAGAGAAATTTTGTAGTTATTACAAGACGTGATTGTCAGAAAACGGGATGTATACCACGACAGTGCCAAAATATTGAGTTGGTCAGAAAATCCAATAAAATTGTAGTATGAATCTAGTTTTTTTACCAGAATTTTGGTACTAGCTACAGTAACAAACAAAATTGTTATAACAAATATTTTTAATTTTATTTTCCACATTTCTAACGCAAATTAAACTTTAAATAATCATTTTTAAACCCATAAACATTATAACATAAACGAAATGAAAAAAAGAGAGAGATATTACAAATAGCAACATTATTAAACTTCTGAGTATCAATGTTAGGTACAAATTATAATAATACTGTCAGTTAACTTAACTGACAGTATTATTATAATTTGTACCTAACTAATTTGTTTTAATAAAACTAAAAACCATAAAATCGGTCTTCATAAGGAATATTATCGTAGTAACTATGGTAATCTTTTGGAAGGGAAGATTTCAGACTTTGTAAGTCATCATACTTTCTTTTTTATTTTTAGCCTTTCATTGTAGAGTTTTGGTAAGGCACTTAATTCTTTTGGGACCACAGCAGGGTTTTTGCGTTGTGGCAAAGTTGACCAAGGCTCTGAAAATTTTATTTTGTAAAATATGTCTTCACTCGAAGTATATTTTAGTGCTTTAATATCTGTTACGACTGGATCTCTGGGCTTCCTCCCAGGTCGAATGGATTTGAAAAATGCCAAGTCACTGTATGAGTTAAAGTATTCGTGTGTCAAATAATGCACGTTATAGGGCTTTGGGTTCACTCTTGCTTCTTTACATACACCAAGATACTCTGCAGGAGGGTTTATTACTTTAGCCTTCATTTTTCTTTCAATACAAGCGTGTATACTGTCTACTTCCATTTGAGTATGCCCTTTTTCCAAAAATTTTTGTTCAATCACTACATTGTTTAACATAGCTACATTCAATAAAGCATTAGCCATCACGCTATTTCTATTTTGTGAAGTACATCCATCACTGTAAATAATTATTCTCCTGTCATCATCTTGTAAAAAGGGACAAACTTCTGTATTTAAAAGCTTTGCAACAATTGATGCAAACTCCTCAGCATTCACACCGCCTTCTGTCTCATTCCATAGGAAGCAGTAAGCCTCTTTGGTCTTTAAGTTGTACATACAAAAGTTATGCACCTTTAATTTCATTTTGTAGTAAAGACTGGATACATTAGACTTGGGGCAAAGTAAAATCGCTTGTTGGTCCATTGCAAAGACATGTTTCTCAGTCTCTTTATCCTTGACCTTTTCATCTCTCGCTTCCTCTTTTTTTGCAACATGATGATCATAATCACTTTGTTGTAAGTTTCCAGATTTATAAGCAGTACATAACTCGCATTCATCTTTCTTTGGTTTGAATATAGAAACATTTTTTTTTCTCCAACGCATTATAAAATGAGCAAGTCAAAGTCAAAATGACAAAGGCTTGACATCATTTTCAGAGCACCAAACTTTGTAAAATTTGAAAAGAGCCTGTTTAGATGGCCAATCTGGCTGCAAATAAAGTTTCGATGTCGATTTTCTGCAGTAATGGCTTTCCATCAATGGCAAAGACTTAATAAATCGTTCTAAGCCCTCTTTTTCTACTACAAAAGAAGTCGTTGATGCTTTTGACTTAGGAACAGTGGTATTTGCATCATTTAATCCCTGTTTCTTCCAGTTTAAAGCAGTCTATTCCCCAATTGCTAAAGTATTGATATACATTTGTTTACAGACTCTTACTACCTCATCTTTTACTTGGAGAGTACTCATTTGAAAATTTACGCCTTGATGTAACTTGGTTTTTTCTGTCTCTTGGTCTATGAACTTTTGAAAGTCTCATTGTGTTATTCACAAAAACTTTTTTCTGATCCCAACTTAGTTTCCAAAATATGTTAAAAATGTCTTCTCTGTCTCTATCTGTTAATTTATTGCAATTCAATTTACTCGTCTTCTCACTAACTCTGCATTTGCATCTGGGCTTTAGAACTCTTCCCTTCTTTTCAACATCATACTTCCAGATGGTTTCTTCTCTTTTCTTACCTTTGTATGGATAGCCAAATTGTCTTTTCCTTTTATTTATCTCTTGTTTCCAGTCAGCAGTTTCTCTTCTCTGGTGTTGAACTGTCGGAGCTGTCGGAATACGGCACAATATTTCTGTCCATACTGTCATCGCTAATAAGATCGTTTGGAGACTCTATTGCAATCGAAGTCACTCTGTTGCTCGTTGAAGACGTGTTTGATTCATTTTCCACATTTGTGTGAATTACATCTTCTTTTTCTTCGTTGTTTTTCAGTTCCAGGGTATTACCAGAAATATACTCAAAAATAACATTATCTTGTATCGTCATTAAATTGAAAGGTTTATGGCTCGTGCTGGCTCCTATAATATCTGATAAATCAGCTGGAGTTATATCAACTTTCTTCTCGGCTTTTTTTATAATTCTGTTTTCAAGAATAACGATTTTTTTGAGGCGGCCGTTCGGAGTTCTCGAGTTTGTGTCCCACACGTAACTGGTTAGGTGATACGCCTTGCAATGATAATTCAATCATTTTCAAGCTTTATTTTGCTCTGTAAAAACACACCCGAATTGAGAACCTCCTTCTTTTTGAAGTCGATTAAAAAGCATACTTCATTTAAGGCGAAAACACAATAACATTTGAATGATGAAAGGTATGAATTTAGTAAAACAACTAAGGAGTTACATGGTAAATAAAGTCAGAAAAACATTGAAAGAAAATCTTGTAACTCCATACGTACTTTAACGTCAAGCTTTTGTATTAATGCATTAATAAATCATTCCAATCTTTTGAAAAAACACTGCACAATAATATCATGATGGAATTAATACTTAGCATTTTAACTAAAACGTAGTATTTAACAAAAAGAAATTGTATAACGATTCACCGGTCCACGTGCGCAACCTCACGACAAAGTCCGCCATATTAGGAGACATAAACAACGGAGTTACGAGGTTTGCTTTAAAAAAAATATTATGATGCATTTACGGGGTTAGCTTGACACAAATTGTCTATGGTTTTATTAGACTTGCATTTACGAGGTTTGAAACGAAATATATCCTTTTTTTTAATGCGTCCAATGATATCAAAATGTCGTTTCCGCCTATATGTGGAGTTACGAGGTATGCGTATTAAGTTGACGTTATATTTCTTTTATGAATAACCTACTTTGATTAGTACCTACTGATTTTTGTAAGCACATTATTTTGTTAAAGGCTTTAATTCTACTGTGTTGTGTTATTTTGGTGTTTAGTTTCGCAAACATGCAAGCTATGCATAGTCTTAGATTCGTTTTTGATTATTCAATCTTAATTTCATGAAAATAAGTAATTGATAATATTTTAAAATGGATTTTAATTGAACCTATTTCCAAGTGAACATTGACCTTTATATTATTCCAGTACCTTATTGTGTTATTGTATTATATATATATATATATATATATTTGAAATGAAATTTGGCGGCTGAGATTAAACGCAACGAATGCAACATCTTTTCGCAGTGCCAGTGAATCGAGCTGATCGAAAAGCACTCGGTCGCTGACGATTCGAGCCACTCTACGCTGAGATGCAGTCAAGTGGAAAGGACCTGGCGCTGGAAAGCCCCAGCCCAGAGATGGAAACAGTATTCCATGTGAGCCCGAACCTGCGCTTCCTAAACTTGTCGGCGGTGTGCCGGCATGAAATACTATTCCGCTCTGCTGAGCACGCTAAGCTTTTTAGAGGTCAATTTGGCCTTCTCTTCCAAGTGACAACGAAATTGCACGTCAATCGATATGTCGACGCCGAGGATTCCCATACTGACTGAGGCAACAAGGGGAGTGCCTTAAAACTGAGGAGATACGACAAAGGGGTTCTTTTTACCTGTACTATTATTTTTTTCTTATAGGATAGGGTAACAAACTGTGGCCTATAGACATCTACATCTATCCCCGCTTACAAATCTAAATGCAAATGCGTTGTCACCCGTGATAGTGGTGTGACAGTGGATATCTCCTTACCAGTAAAAAGGGTCTCCGGTTCAGCATGGCTCTACTACGTATAAAATATATATGGGTATTTTTAATATAAAATAATAATGATTAGTTGAGTAAAAATGAAAGAAACTGTTTTAAAAATCAATTTCAATTTCATTCTTATTTGCGCAATGAATTTTTTTCCACTAGCATTGTATTATTGCAATAATTTATACATTATCACATGGCATCTTCATTGCTTTCGAAGTAAACTACAATTTTAAAACCATGATGCTATATTATTTTATTTGTTGCATTTTTTCGTCCCGTAAGTTGATAGGAGACACATAAATTTTGTATGCAGCTTTATTTTGTTGATTCAAAAATATTTTTTATTTTTTATGTTTAAGCCTCTTAAATATTATGGTTATTTCTACATTATTTTAAACATGATTATCAATTTTTTATTAATTAATAATATTATCATACTTTTTGTTAGCGTATAGTATTCACAATCAAACATGGGCTCAATCAAAACTTTCAAAAAGTACATTATTTTACGAACTTACCCATATATACACTTTGTTTAAATTTATGACATTTACCAAATCATTGTATTTTGGACATTTGTATTCTTCAATATTAAAAATTCTATCATTCCTCGTCAACATTTTTAAAAATTGTTTTTCTGTTGAACCAATTTTGTATTATATAGTATACTATAACTAATGTTTTTGGGAAATCAAACAAAATTTATGATTAATTTAAAATTTTATTTTCAAGCAATAACCACTTGTAATAAACCCACACTTCGTCACAAGAACAATGTAAAATTTTGTGATTATTTTTTGCAAATATATGATTATTACACACATAACGTTTGTTTAAATTTATGACATTTACCAAATCATTGTATTTTGGACATTTGTATTCTTCAATATTAAAAATTCTATCATTCGTCGTCAACATTTTTAAAAATTGTTTTTCTGTTGAACCAATTTTGTCTAATGTTTTTTGGAAATCAAACAAAATTTATGATTAATTTAAAATTTTATTTTCAAGTAATAACCACTTGTAAAATACCCACACTTCGTCACAAGAACAATGTAAAATTTTGTGATTATTTTTTGCAAATATATCATTATTACACACATAACGTTTGTTTAAATTTATGACATTTACCAAATCATTGTATTTTGGACATTTGTATTCTTCAATATTAAAAATTCTGTCATTCGTCGTCAACATTTTTAAAAATTGTTTTTCTGTTGAACCACCTTTGTATGCGATCACTTCGTCTTTGCACAAATTTCTAATATACCAATTTAATATGGGAATGATGTTCTCTTGTTTGTAGGCACATTTTAATTCTTCGGTCACATCAAAATATGGAATGCCGTGCACGTGTATTTCACAATAACGAACAGTTTTTTTGTCTTTTGGCGACAAATAATTGAAAGGATAACTTGGCTGAAACAAATAATGATCGATAAACGAATCATTTTTATTAGATAGTTTTACGTCTAGAATATCCATTTCTCTACATTGAAAATGTTTATGAGGATATGTAATGTAAAATCCGTCATGTCGATGATGTATCTAATATTTTTTAGATTTTGTGTCATTTTGAACCAAAATGTTAAAAGTATTTACACGTGACTAAAATATGTTTGTTCCAACAAACTTCACATAACAATTCATTCTTCATTATTTCCCATCACCCCATTTCTTCCTTCTGCTCTTTTCTTCCTGTAATTTAAGAAAACAGAATCACATTTACTAATGATCAACTAATGACTGTCATTGTTAAAAAAGTATTTTTTAACTTTTTACTTTCTGCTATTGTCTTTGTATTTATGGCTAGAAAATGTCCGCGGCGCGGTCTCAATGCGTGTTGGCGAACTTCACATGACTTCGAAATTTTCTCAGACATGCAGGTTTCCTCACGATGTTTTCCTTCACCACCGAGCACGTGGTAAATCAGCACTTAAAATAGCAATTAACAATTTAATTTGTGTCGGCGGGGATCGAACCAGCGTTACGTGCTGTAAAATTTACAGCTTGCGCTAACCATCTGAGCTACCACGGCTTAATCATATACACACACAAAATATTTAAATATAATTTGTTAACACTAAATAATAATAATAATAATAATTCCACAACTATCACACAACGCCATCTAGTCCCAAGCTAAGCAGAGCTTGTGTTATGGGTACTAGACAACTGATAAACATACTTATATATTTCTAAATACATAAATATTATAGATAAATTACACCCAGACACAGAACAAATGATCGTGCTCATCACACAAACATTTGTCCTGGGTGGGAATCGAACCCACGACCTCCGGCATAACAGTCAGGGTCACTAACCACTAGACCAACAGGCCTGTCGTTCAAAATCATACACACGTAAAAAATAACAGAAAGAAAAGTAAGTTTGTCAATAGATTAAACACTTACATCTATGGCCTTTGATGCGTTGAAGTAACGCAAATGTATTATTGATAGATACACTGCAGTCAAACGACCATACACTAACTCCATGACTGCAGTTGCTTGGTCTTATATAGTACCAGTAAGTAATAATTCTAATCTAAAGAATTTCTACAGTAGAATTGATAATAACTTTATGCGTCAACAACCTTATCTCACATTCTTCGTGTTGCGTCTTATTCAGTGTATTGATGACTCAAATACGTTTTGTATAACAGAAAAAATGCAATTTAATATTTAGAAATCACATAATTGATCATTCCTATGTTAGTCATTGAGTAGATTGTACTGTAGTAATCTACTAATAGCAGTGATATCATGGATACACTAGATGTACAACAACATCTGAAAAAGATTCACCCCAGTCTAGAAAATAATGTTGATGCTGCTAACAGACTGCCCATGTACACCCACGTACCAACGTATATACCTAGTCAGGTCATAAGTATTGTCACACAGTAAAAACTTTTCTTTTAGAATGCTGGCCACAAAAAAGTTTATTGAATTCGAATTGTTCATGAAAATAAAACTGTATACTTTTTTAGAATTTTACTCATTTTTACATATGGAGTGGACGCTTAAAAAAGACCGTGTTGCAGTTGCTATTACGCGCCAATTAAATTTTTTGATATACTGAAAAATTTGAATATAACCAAAAGATTCGTTTATAGTACCATCAAACGATACAATGAAGAC